GTTGAGAGTGGAAAGGATGAAGTGGGATGTCTGAGGTTAGAGAACAGTAGAGAAGGTTTGAAATAGCATTTAAGCTGAGTGCAGGAGGTTGTACTGACCACAGAAACAGAGTAGAAAAGATTTGAAATAGTATTTGCTGAGTAGTGTAGAGAGCTCATTCAAGACTGGTAGTAATGAATTTATTATTGGTAATAATAAATCGGTCAGCTGCTTCACTGAGCTCTAGGGAAAGATTTTGTTAGTAGAAATTTTAATTTCTTTGAAGATTTACATTCTGTGTTGTGAAACCTAAAGAATTAAATTTTTTCTGAGTTTAATTTTTTTCCTTCTTTTTAAAATCTTTTGTCTGTTTTCTTTAAGTATTAACAGAACACATTGAGTAAAAAAAAAAAAAACCCTTAGTTTTCTGAATTTAACTTTTATTTTACCCTGGCTTTTGTGTGAATATACAGTTGCCTGGACAAAAAAAAAAAAAAAAGAGGCTATGGAAGAATCAGAGTTCACTGAGCTCCTGAATTACATCTATTGTAACTATTCTTTGGAAATTCTGGTTAGCTGGGAGTTATGTGAATTGAAATAATTGATTTTGAATTTTGAGATGAGTTTAGGCTAAGGTTTTCTTGGTACTGATTATAAAATAAAAAGATGATTCTGAATGAATTATTCAAGATTTCTTGTGTCAGATTTAATTTTGGAAAGGAGCAAAATTTTTGGAGCCTCTTGGAACATTTGGAGGGGTAGTTTGGGGACGATTATCTCACATCTCTTACAGGCTCTCTCTTAAAATATATTTTAAAAATATTAAATAATCCATTTTATTTAGGAATGAACAAATTGAAAAGAAGGGTAAAATATTTGTAAAGCATTAATTAGCTCACTGAAATTCAAACACTTAAGATATGTTTGCACGCACATCTCCTACCAATATTCCAGCATTATTGAGATATGAGTAACAAAAGTTGTATGCATTTAAGATGTAAAATGTAATGATATTTTGATATAGTATGATTACCATAATTGAGCTAATTAACATGCTTATCACCTCATATAGTTACCATATTTGTTTTCTTGTGGCAAGAACACTTGAGATATACTCTCTGAGCATTTTTACATATATCATACATTATCATGAACTATATAGTTCATGATAATGTAATGTATAGTAACTTACATTTCCAGAACCTATTCATTTTATAACTGAAAGTTAGTACCCTTTGACCAAAGTCTCTCCATTTCCTCTCATTCCCAGCCCCTGATAACCACCATCCTACTCTCTGTTATTATGAATTTTACTTTTTTAGATTCTGCATGTAGGTGAGATCAAGCTGTATTTGTCTTTCTGTTTCTAGCTTATTTAGCATGCCTTTCAGGTTCATTCATGCCACAAATGGAAGAATTTCTTCCCTCCTTTTTTTAAAAAAAATTTTTTCTTTTTATCCTTACCCTGAGGACATTTTTTCATTGCTTTTTAGAGAGAGAGAAAGGGAGAGAGGAATGGAGGGAAACATTGATGCAAGAGAGAAACGTTGATTGGTTGCCTCCTGTGTGTGCCCATCCTGGGGGCCACACCTACAGCCCAGGAATGTGCCCTGACCAGGAATTGAACCTGCGACCTTTTGGCTTACAGGATGATGCTCCAACCAATTGAGCCACACTGGCCAGGGCTCCTTTTTTTAAGGCCAGATCATATTTCATAATAAAGTGTACACACCACATTTTCTTTATCCATTCACCCACTGACATTAAATGGACATTTAGGTTGTTTCTATGTCTTGGCTACTGTTTATGATGCAGAGAGTGCTTGTATCTCTGAGACAGTGATATTATGTCTTTTTAATAAAGGACCAAATAATAAATATTTTAGACACATGGGCTGCATGGGGCTTCTGTCCCATATTTTTTCTTTAAACAGTGCTTAAAAGAGTAAAAATCACTTTAGCTTGCTAGCCCTTCGAAACAAGCTTAAAAGCAGTGTTTGGCCTATAGGCCATAGTTTCCCACCCTGCTCTGGGTGAATAAAACTTAACCATTCGAGTGTCATTCAAAATTACATATTAATGACTTTTACTAGAAACCTTTATCAGGTCTTTTATAAACATGGATGCCCTAACTCTAAAAGCTTTTTATTATGGAAAATATTAAATATATATATAAAAATATAATGTTCTGTGGACATGTCTTTCTGGTGTGCTTTATTTTCTATAGGAATGTTACTCTTTTTATTCTCCTTTTTCTTATAGAGACTTTGTATAAGGAATGACTACAATCCTTTTTAGGCATTATTTCTTCAAATAATTTTTTCTGTTTTTCTCCCATTCTCATCTTTCTTTCTGAGATTCTAGTTCTTTTCTCTTATTTGTGTTTAAGTGAGATGGCTTTTCCTGTACTACTTTTAAGATAAAGAGGGTTGGGCAGGCTAAGGCTAGTTTTCTAGGTTGTGACTCTAGGCGTCATCCTCTGTTATGTAATATTCAGAGATATGCTTTCTGAGACCATGTCTCTTCTCCTTTGCTACTTTTATCTAGACAGGGTTTTTCATCCTCTTCAACATTGGCATTTTGGGTCAGATAATCTTTGCAGTAGGGGATTGTCCTGTGTTTTGCAGGATGTTTAGAGCTTGGTTTCCACCTACTGGATGCCAGTGACCACCCTGTGGCGCCCTCCTCTTCCCCAGTTGATAACCAAAAATGTTTTTAGACATTCTCAGATGCCTTGTGGGATTCAGAATCATTCTCATTCAAGACCTTGTTTCCTTTGCCCCCCCAAATTCTACTGCTTTAGTTTAGAGTTCTCTTCCTGGCAGTTTCTGTTTGGTGTAATGAAGGATGCTTTACTTAGTTTTGAGGTTTTTGTCTCCCTGTGATCCTCTTGCATTTGCCTGTGGGTTGTAGCCTCTGAAATTCCCTCTTAGTTTTGGTTGCTGTTCCACACCAAATTGGACACCTCAATTTGAGGATGGGAATGAGAAATAGTATTTATGGGCAATTTGATTTCTCAATGTTTTGGCATTAGGACTGTCTAAAATCCCTTTCCTCTTCCTCCTCTTAATCTTTCTGATACTATGTAGGTCTTGCTGCAATTGGTGTTTGGCTCAACTGTTCACATCTTGGGGTTCATGAGTGATACATAGTCAATTAATTGTTATATATTTGTTGGCTATGTTTTATTTTGTTTTGGTTTGATCTACTTGTTGTATTCCTCTAATTGCTGTCTTTTTTTTTTTTGGAGGTGGGTGGTTTATTCAGGGACATTAAAAAATTTTGTCTCTTTCATTGCCAAGTTGCCCAGACTGCCTCTGCCTTCTTCTAAACATGATAATAGAAAATGTTTTAAATGATGGGTGAGACTTGTGCTGTGTCGTGGACTCTGGGGAAGGCTTAAAGAGAGAAGTTGGAAATGAGAGAGATACTGAAAAGCTGATGGAGGTACCATATTTGTGGCCTGGAGGGGACCATAAAGCTTGGATACAAAAATATTGGGATTGGCTTTGAAAAGGGGAAGAGGATAATTTGTCTGACAGTGTCTGATAGGAGAGGTAAAGAGATGACATTTTATTCAGATATGTTAGTTTGCGGATAAAAAGCTGAGGAATGTCTGGTATCCTTAATTTTCTTAGTAAAATTTAATATGATGAAGTTACTGCTAAATTTAAAAGATGCCAATTTTGTAATTTTTATGTTTTTAAAGATTTTATTTATTTTTAGAGGGAGGGGAAGGGAGGGAAAAAGAGAGGGAGAGAAAAACATCGATGTGCGAGAGAAACCTTGATTGGTTGCCACTCATGTGCCCCCAACTGGGGACCTAGCCCACAACTCAGGCAGGTATTTGCCCTGCCTGGGAATCAAACAGGGGACCTTTCAGTTTACAAGCTGGCACTCAATCCACTGAGCCTCACCAGGCAGGGCCAATTTTGTGATTTTTAAATTTTTGTTCAGTTTCATCTCTTAGCAACTCAGATGTAAGAGCAGAGAAGGTGATTTGATTGTATTGACCCAAGATTAAGATTTTGCAGGATAATGTTGTTAAGGCATGATAAAAGAGAGTGGCTCAAGGGATGCTAGGGTGTAAATTGGATAGGGACAGAAACTGTGCTATTCAGGTGCTGATGGGTTGGGAGGAAAGGGGGGACTCAAGGGAATCCAGGTCTGTGGTTCTAGGGCAGGTATGAGGGGAGTAAGAAAGTAAGAATTGGACAAGAGATTGAAGCCAAGGTAGTATATTGGAATTTAAAATTTAAGAGCCAGAGTTTTATTTTATTGCAAAGACCATATAATGACTATGGGAGTTTAACAGTGATGAAAAATACTGGAATAAAAGAAGTTCAGAAATGGTGGAAGTATGTTGTGGAATGTAGCTTATTATAGAGATATAAATCACCTATAGTGATGGCAAAAGTTGGAATGAGGGGGAAAGTGTGAACCAGATAGGTAGATAAACAGGGAGATCTGTCTGTGGATGGCAGCAATATGTCAGGGTTCAGGGTGTTATTGTAAGAATGGGGGAAAGGGTGCTTTGCAACGTGCATAAAGGGTCAGGGACTTTACTGTAAAGTCTGTTTATTTCTGGCATGTATACAAGGGGTTGGGCACACTTTATTAAAAGGGACAGATTGTAAATATTTTAGACTTTGCCACTTACATATGGTTTCTGTCACATCTATTTATTTGTTTGTTTTTCTAACCCTTTAAAAATATAAAAACCATTTTTAGCTTACCTAAAACTAGTCAGCAACTGAAGGTTGAAGTTGGCTGACCCATGGATTACACTTATGAATTATTTGTGGTTAGTGATACTTTACCATTGTGAAAGCTCGTAACTATTTCAGTTACTAAGTAGCTCTTGTTACTTGAGTAACAGTAGTTTTGATTGGAAAGGGTTAAGGAGAAAATGTATATTTATTTTAAAAATACTGTTGGTAGTATTGTTTTCACTTCTTACTATGGTAATTACTTTTACACTTCTGAACAAAATTTTTACTTTTTTTTTGTGGTGGATTCAAGTTGAGTCAGCAAATACTGGAGTTATTTGAAGCGTGTCAGCAGCAAGCAAGTGATTTAAAGAAGAAAGAACTCTGTCGAACTCAGCTGCAGAGAGAAATTCAGCTGTTATTTCCACGTATGTTTCCCTATTTTTCATGCCCATTATGTATATGAATGTCTGTTTAAAATAATAAATAATACCATATAATTATCTTCTGTTTCTTTAGAAAGCAGACTTTTTTTGGTTGGGTCCTCTTTAAATGGATTTGGTACCCGGACCAGTGATGGTGATTTATGTCTAGTTGTTAAAGAGGAACCAGTAAGTAATGAAACACTTATTCTTGTGTTAAGTGATTTAAGAAATTTTACATAAAAGTCACTGAGGAAAATAACTTGTTTTGTTTTAATTACTTCTTTGAATTCTTTGTTTATAATAATTCAAGGAAAGCCAGGCAATACTTTTTCTTTTATGGTGTTTATACAATAAGCATAACAGGAATTTTAGCATTAATTTGTTTTTAAGTTGCTAAAGTGAGATGGCTTCACTGTGTATTTAAAGAGCTCTGCCTCTTATTTTGAACCATCATTGGGTTATATATTTTACCGGGATACAGCGGAGAAGAACATGTGTCTGTATTATCTTCTTGATATATTTCCTTTCCATTTGAATTTTCAGTGATTCTATTTTTAATCCTCATTTTTTTTTATCCCTTTGAAAATACTGTGGGGTTTGGAGTTCTTATTTTTGGAGTACAGAAAGAGAGATTTCACCAAAATTTAAAATAAGGATATTGTGATATATTTCTTCTAATATTTTGGCTTTGTTCTTTTTATTTTTATTACGTTTTATTATTTAGTATTTGTTTATTTGAATTTCCTATTAACTGATACTCATGTGTACCCTTAATACCACAATAATTGCTGACCTGAAGCAGCCTCTTTAATATGCTGAGGTGTCTTCCCAATTACCAAAGATTAAATTATTTCAGTATAATTTTAAAAGGCCTTATTATAGTTCAGCAGTTTAAAAATAGAAGAAAAATCTATCGAATGGTAATATATGCTTTTACTGTTCCTATTATTTTACTAACAAAGTTGGCTTCTAGTTACTGCAAATCAGAATGAGATTTATTTCAGGAAAGAAACTTTTTCTAGGCTTTGGGATCATACAAAGGAAAGCTTAAAAAAACTCAGAAATAATAAATACAGAGGAGAACACTAGTGTTTTAATTAAAACTTTCCATCATATAATTATACTATACTCAGGCACATCTCACTAACTTTTCAGTGTTACTTACATGTCTGAATCATATTGTCACAACTTACACTGAGACACCATAGATTTGAACCTTATCCTTAAGCAGCTCATAATGTAGATTGGGACATAAAACCTGTTATAGAAAGTTAAAATTCTGTTGTGTGTTTTGTTTGGTTTTTTTTTTGAGAACATTGCTTTTTGTACATTTATACTAAAGGAAAACATGATATATATGACTCTTTCAATATTTCTATTAAAATTGTGCTTTAGGTTTAAAATCAGGAGTTGATTTAGAAATGTTGGTGTGAAAGACAACACAAAGATTGACTTTTCCTATAATGCAATGTATTGTATATTGAAAAGAAAAGTATACTTTATATGTTTTCTCTTTGTTGAGATACATTAAGAAAATAAAACACTAAGGTTAGAAGGATAATGAAAAAACACTTTATTTTTAACTTTTCAGTGTTTTTTTCAGGTAAATCAGAAGACTGAAGCGCGGCATATACTCACCTTAGTCCATAAACACTTCTGTACTAGACTTTGTAAGTCTGATATGCCTCAAGTTCATATGTCATCTGACATAACTATTTATTTAAAAATGTCTGTCTCACTTTATTTTCTGGTAAGAATTGTTTATTTTTTGATCAGGATAGGTATTATGTGGATTTTTTTTCCAAATGAATTCCTTTAAGTTTTGATTAAAAAGAGTAACCATTTATTCAACAGTTTTTTTATTGAGTTTACTTGCAAGATACCACACTGAATGCAGTGGAGAGCTCATATAAGCTTCAGTTCTTTTTTCAAAAGGTTGTAGACTGTAATGCTGAGTATTTATGAAAAGCCAAAAGAGTGATACAGATAAAGTCTTATTCAGGTGAGGGAGAGAGAACCTCATCTGTTTTGCAATGAGATGGAATTTATGACATCAGATTTTAAAAATATGATCACTGAAGTTGAAGCCCAAGTGAATTACTCCAAAAGAAAGCAAAATTATTGACTTAGGCAATTTTATTGTAGAATTTTATTATTTGAATGAGCTAACTTAACAGATTTTAATTCACATGTTAAGCCATCTCAAATAATTTATTTTAAACATTTGCAGAATATTGTGGATAGTTGAAGCCACACTAACTGTGTGGTGTTGGAAAGGCATTTTTGCGTTTTTTTAACAGATAGATATTTTTTATATATATGTCAGACTTTGAGGTGGAAAATTCAGAGTCAATTAAAAAGTTAGTATCCTTAAACAGCTTACATGTATTAAAGGAGAGAAATAAATCAGATGATTTATTTTAGTAGAGTTAAGTTTTCAGATCTGTGAATAAAGGAGTAATTCATACCTTAAGTGGGTTTTTAACAACTAGTATTATAATTATAAAACATTAAATATGGGAGGGACTTTAGAGATCATCTAACTCAAATGAAAGGGTTTGTTTGTTTGTTTGTTTTCTGGCTTTTAATAGTTGAGCAGACTGGTGACCTATGGGTTCAGTAACTTGCAGGAGGAGTATAGTTTGTTTTTTTTTGCATTAGAACTTGTACTTGGAACTCGAAACTTGTAACTCCTTATTTTTCACTAAGCCTCACTGAATTCTTACACATAAATTCTATTTGAAGCTTGGTATACATGTATTTTATGATTTTGGTGGTAAAACATTATAACAAATTTATAGTTTTTTTATGTGTTATTATGGTTTTCTTTGGTTAAAACATTAGGAAATCGCTCTTTTGGGAAAGTTTGTAGAGTTTCTTTTTTATACATTTCTGTATTTTCCCAAGTATCTACACTGAACGATGTATTACTTTCAGAAAAAACTTTTTTAAAACTACAGTGGAATAAGATGTACGTAGATATGTGTTATTTCCCTTAGAGATTATACTTATTTTGATGTATCACCATCCCAAGTATCATGTTGTAAGCATTGGCGCTTAAGACTCTGTACATACGATTTTTATGGCTGCCATAATATCTTGCCATGCATTGAACCAGAATTTAGCTATCCTACTGCAGCTCGCCTAGGTATTTTTCATGTTTACATTGCTCTGATCAACTTTATAAATGTTTATTGATGTAAGGCCACATTTCTGAAAATAATTTTATTATAAAGTCCTCTAAATGGCATTGGAAATTCCATTCTTAGAAGAATTCAATAATGTCCTTCCATTGCTTTCTTTCTCAAAGACTATGTTTTCTTAAATTATTTTAGCTTAGTAAAATGCTATTTTTAAAGACTATACATTGGTACAATATGAATTTGAGATATATTTACAGATATTCACATTATCTTTTATCCTTCAGCTGGCTACATTGAGAGACCTCAGCTGATTCGAGCAAAAGTGCCAATTGTGAAGTTCAGGGATAAAGTCAGGTAAATAATTATTGAATTCCCTATTTTCAGTTGCTTTAGATAATTTTTAGAAATTCTTTTGACGTAAATAATTAAGAAATGTATGCTATAACATAATATCTTCATTAGCTGTTAGAATTCACTTGATTTGGCCTTTGAAATAATTTTTAAAAGTAGTCTGAGTAATTTTTCATGATAACTATGCAGTTATTCTGTTTGATATTTCCAGTATTTGAGACTACCCAATTTAAAGAATATACACATATCTATATTTCAGATTTTTTAAATGATCACTTGCCCTTCAGAAATGTGAAGAACATATCTTAATTGATGAAATTTTATGAATCAAGGGGTTGTTACAAATCTAACTATGTATTCTAGCAGCCTGCGTTCTCGATTTCTTATGGGTATTAGAATTAGAATCTTTTAGATAATATCTGAAAATGAAATATAAATGTTAGCTGTTGACTCTTTCCTTGGGTAAAAAAAGATTTGTTATTTTATAAAAAAACAGGATTCTGATAAATCAGGCTTTTCTAACTCAGTTTTATAAAAGTAATACTGAAATACAAGTTTAAGGATATACATAGCTAATCTTCATTATTCAAGGATTCCGTATTTGCAAAATCATTTACCTGGTGAAATTTATTTTGTAATCCCATCCCCCCTAAATTAATTCTTTTGCCACTTTCCTGGCCATTCGTAGTCATGTCAGAGTTTAGAAAACTTTGAGTTACCCAATGTGTATGTTCCCAGTTGAGGTTAAACAATGTGATGTTCTGGCTTCTTGTTTCAGCTCTCCTAATGTTCTTTTTTCAGTCTAGTACCATGTTATTTTTTTTACATTTTTGTGCTTTTTGTGGGTAGTTTTGCTGTTTAAAATAGCCCCAAACCTAGTGCTGAGGTACTGTCTAGTGTTTCTGTGTACAAAGCTGTGATCTGCCTTCCAGGGAAAATACGCGTTAGATATGCTTTGTTCAGGCATGAGTTACAGTGCTCTTGACTGTGAGTTCACTGTTAATGAATCAGTAGTGTATTAAATATGGGGCACAAAAAAAGTTACATGTTTATCAGTTGATGAAAATGTGACTGAACACCTGTAGAAACATAACTTTATTTCCTCTATCAGCAATGATTTAGTAGTCACTAATTCAGCATTTACAGTGACTTTATAGAACCCAGCTACTGTGAATAATAAGAATTGACTGAATATATAGTTTAAATGAAACTTTAGATATATTCATGGCTCAAACTTGCCCTTCCATCAAAACATCCATTCACTCTATAAATATTTATTGAATTTTTATCAGTAAATAAAGTCTAAAGCACAAAGATACAGAAAGATAAACTAAACAGATGATCTATTAGCAAATTATAATTGTTTTAAAATATATGGTTATATAAACAATTCTTACTGTATTTAAGATTATTACACAAACTTTTTATTTTTAAATATTCTTATATAAACTCCATTTTATAATTTTTCTATATGAATCATTAAAAAAAATTCCACTTCTAACAACTAAAGAGAACTGATTTCACTGTTTTGATGTAAACCTTTCAGTCCCTTTTCTATGAACATGAGTGCATGAGTTTTTAAAATTAATGTTGAGATCATATTTTTTACTTAATCATATGTCATGAACACTGCTTATCTCATTGAATATTTTCTGACTTCATTTTTAATGGCTTTCAGTATTTCATTGAGTGAATATGTTGTCATTAACTTACTCATTCCCCTGTTAAAATAAACATTTTGTGCATAAGATTTTTTCTATATGAAGGATTACTTTAGTGTTTTCAGAGGTAGAAGTTGAAGCAAATACTATGGATATTTTTAAAGCTCTAAATTCATATTTTTGAAAAGTTTTAAAATGTTTACTTCTTTTAGAGAGAGGTAAAGGGAGGGAGAAAGAGAGAAAGAAACATCATTGCTTGAGAGAGAAACATCAGTTGGTTGCCTCTTGCACACGCCCTCGACCAGGGACTGAACCAAGCCAGTGACCTTTTGCTTTTCTGGACGATGCCCAACCAACTGAGCCACATCAGCCAGGGCAAATGTTATTTTTGTTTTTTTGTTTTTAATATTTATTTATGTATTTTTAGAGAGAGGGGAGGAAGGGAGAAAGAGAGGGAGAGAAACATCAATGTGTGAGAGAAATGTCTATCAGCTGTCTCTTGCACACCCCCAATTAGGAACCTGGCCCTCAACGCATGCACATGCCCTGACTGTGAATCAAACATATTCGCAGACCGGCACTCAGTCCACTGAGCCATACCAGCCTGGGCAGGGCAAAAGTTTTTCATGCAGACTAGTTTTCATCTAAGTGTTTTGCTTTCTGATGAGTTATAGAGAGGAAGTGAAAGCTGGTTTCACTGTTAGATTTGCACAAACACAAAGAACGTAGCTCTATTGTTACCATATATTTCCCAAAGCCTAATATGTATATGATGTCTGAAGTGTTAATACCACTGTCTGTTTTTATCAAATCAATATGCATGAATAATTGAAAAATTATAGGATTTCTTTCTCTAGAAACAAGAAAATCTGAAATAGTAAATTTCAAATTTTATGATTAAAAGCTGTGGAAAGTAAATTTAATAAGTTTTTATTTTTAGGCAGTGTTTTCATAGAAAAGCTTTTTTTTAGAGAATTGGAACTTTTTTTCAATTACAGTTGGCAGATACTATATTAGTTACAGGTGTACACCGCAGTCATTTGACATTACAGCATTTACTAAGTGATCATCCCTGATAAATCTTGCACCCATCTGATGCCATACATAGTTATTAGAATATTATTGACTATATTCCCTATGCTGTACTTTACATCTCCATGACAATTCTGTAACAGCCAATTTGTACTTCTTAATCTCTTCACCTTTTTCACCCATCCCTCCAACCCTTAATCCCATCTGGCAACTGTCAAAATGGTCTCTGTATCTGTGAATGTTTCTGTTTTGCTTGTTCATTTTGTATTTTAGATGCAGAGATTTGTATTGTTGATAAATATGTATTTATTGCCTTTTTTGTTGTCCATATTTTTGATCTTTCTTTTCCCTTCCTAAAGAAGACCCTTTAACATTTCATATAATACTGGTTTGGTGGTGATGACTCCTTCAGCTTTTTCTTTTTCTTTTTTTTTGTCCTTGAATGGTCTTTATTTTATTTATTTTTATTATATTTTTATTGATTATATTGTTACAGTTGCTCCAGTTTTTCCCCCTTTGCCCCCTTCTACCCAGCACACCTCCTCCAGGTAGTCCCTACACCTTTGTTCCTGTCCATGGTCATGCATATAAATTCTTTGATTACTCCATTTCCTATACTGTACTCTGCATCCCCATGGCTATTCTGTGACTACCAATCTGTACTTCTTAATACCCTCACCCCTTCACTCATTCCCCCACACCGCCCTCCCACCTGGCAACCATAAAAATACTCTCTGTATCCATGATGCTGTCTGTGTTCATTTGCTTAGTTTGTTTTTTAAATTTAATTGTGATCAATATGTATTATTGCCATTTTATTGTTCATAGTTTTGATCTTCTTTTTATTAAATAAGTCCCTTTAACATTTCATATAATAATGGTTTTGTGATCATGAATTGCGTTCGTTTTTTCTTGTCTGGGAAGCTCTTTTTCTGCCCTTCAATTCTTACAGATAGGTTTGCTGGGTAGAACAATCTTGGCTGTAGGTCCCCTCTTTTCATGTCTTTGAATATTTCTTGCTAATCCCTCCTAGCATAGAGAGTTTCTTTTGACAAATCAGCTGACAATGGTATGGAAGCTCCCCTGTAGGTAACTAACTCCTTTCCTCTTTCTGCTTTTAAGATTCTCTCTTTATCTTTAACCTTTGGCATTTTAACTATGAGGTGCCTTGGTACGGGCCTCCTTGTGTCCATCTTGTTTGAGATTTTCTGTGCCTCCTGGACTTACATGTCTGTTTTCTTCACCAGGTTAGGAAAGTTTTCCGTCATTTTTTTAAATATGTTTTCAGCTTCTTGCTCTCTCTCTTTTCCTTCCAGCACACCCATGATATGAATGTTGGTGTGCATGAAGTTGTCACAGAGGCTCCTTATACTGTCCTCACTTTTTAGATTCTTTTTTTTCCTCCTGCTGTTCTGATTGGGTGTTTTCTGCTTCCTTATCTTCCCAATATCTGATTTGATTTTTCACTTTATCTACTCCACCTTTGATAGCCTATAATGTACTCTTCATTTAATAGATTCTTCATTTGTGGCTGGTTCTTTTTTATGTTTTATAGTTCTGCTTTTATGTTTCCTATCTCTTTTTTTAGAGTTCATGCTAAGTCCATTTACTCTTCTAAATTCATTGAGCATTCTTTTAACCAGCAATATGACTTTGCTGCACCTAGTAGATTGCTTGTCTCCATTTTGTTTCATGTTTTTCTGGAGTTTTGTTCTGTTCTTTCATTTGGGACATGTTTCTTTGTCTCCTCCTTTTGGCAGCCTCCTTGTTTTTGTTTTTATGTTTTAGATATTGCTACTATGTATCCCAGGCTTTGTAGAATGGCTTATGTAGTAGGTATTCTGGTTGGGTCCAGTGGCATAGCGTCCCCAATCACTCAAGCTGGGCGCTTGAGGTGCATCCCCTGTGTGGATTGTGTATACCCTCCTCTTGTAGTTGAGCCTCGATTGCTGTTGGCACATCAATGGGAGGGATTTACCTCCAACCTGATTAGCTGCAAAGACTGGCTGCAACTACCGACCTCTTATCATTGCCGACAGTTAGCTGTGCCAAGGCCCACTCCACAGAGCTAGACTTACTTCAGTGTATCTTTGGTGCCCACTGAGTCTGCCCCTTGAGTTTATTGCTTATGGAGGTGGGTAGGTGGTGGTTCTTTAATGTAGTTTGAAGCTGTCAACTGAGTACACTGGCTCTGGGACCTCCTGGGAGGTGCAGGCCAAGGTTTTCCCCTGCTTGTGTTCTGCCTAGGCCACCTGGTGTGAGCTACAAAGTAATCTGCATATGGCTGCTATTGTGCAGGGCTTGGAGGTGCCCAGGCAAGGCCAGGCTATGAACCAAGGCTGGCTGATGGTAGTGCCAGGCCTGGGGTCACTTAACGAGAGGTACAGCCTGATGTTGCTTGTTTGAGAGATTTTAGGAAAATGTGAAGCATGAGCCAGGACAGGCCATTGTAAGCAAAAGTCACTAGAAACAGCTTGAGTGTGTCTCACTCAACTCTGGGTGGGGAGGTATCTCAGGGAATCATCCAGGCAGAACAAACAGTGTGAGCCTGGTTGATGGAGTCTTAGATATAGCAATACCCTGCCAGCTCTGTGAGGGGAGGGCTCATAAAAGGAACAATGACCTCTGCCAGCACTCTGTCTGGGAGAGAGCTGCCCCTCCAGCTGTTACCCTGATTCTCCCCTATGTCTCTGGTACCTTTCAAGCTGCTGCCCCAGCACTGGAGCTCAGAGGGATTGAGTCCAAGTAAATCTGAGGGCCCTTGAAGAGGAACTGTCTGGGATCCTAGAAGCCCTCTGTCTCCCTCAGCCTCAATTTCTGCTGTTTTTCAGCCAGAAGTTACGGGGACTTCTTATCCTGGCACTGGAACCCTGGGCTGGGTGGCCTGGTGTGGGGCTGGGACCACTCTTTCCCCAGTGGGCACCTCTGTAGCCAAGATACCTCCTGATTTTTATTGGCCACACATGGTTGTGTGATCAGCCTAGCCAGCATCTGTCCTTCCTACAAGTCTCGATGTGGCAGTTTCTTTAATTCCCCAGTTATAGGACTTCCTTTAAGCCAGATTTCAAGTGTTTCTGAATGATGGTTGTTCTGTGATTTAGTTTTAATTTTAATGTGGTCGTGGGAGGAGGTGAGTACCGTATTTACCTGCACTGCCATCTTGACCCGATGGCTCATAGTAAAACTCTTGTACATCAAGTAATCTTTTGAGTTTAGCCATTCTTTGTAGATTTCATCATTATTGCCCCTTTTCCTAAATTGTTAATTGCATATCTTTTCTTGTAAAAAAGTGTCCCTTCTCTTGTGTGTTTGACTGTTACAATTTTTCCCAGACATCAGTAGCTAAATTTGGCATGACGTTATAATTTACCAATTTTTGGAGGGAATAGAGTTTTTATTTTTTTGTCTCTACTATTTGGCATTGTATTCCCCCCCCCCTTTTTTTTTAATGTTGGAAAGAGCAAATCTTTATTTACAACATTCCAACCTTGGGAGGTCTCAGAGCACCTGAACTCGGAGCCCTCTTTTCTTATGAGACCCAGCACTTCTCATACTCCCCACCAGGCTACTAGCCAGAAACTCCCAAAGTTTTCCATTTCCTTATCTTAAGCCTGCTGCACAGTTTTCCAGTCTCTCTGGAAAGTACTAAAGTTGCCATCCTCATGCAGCAGCTCTCCTCCAGGATCTGGGATACGTGTTCATCAGCCTCCATTTTAGTCCAGGAAAGCATATTCTGTGCTACTGTGGATCATGGTGAAACTCAGGAAAGGCACAAGTCTTAATAGTTCAGGTGAAATCCCGGTATAGCAGGACAGGATCTTACAAGTCCTTTGCAGCTCCCCAAGCTGCCTGGCCTCCTTCCTCACTATAAACTGCATCCTGCTTTCTTCTCCTTTCTAAGCCAAGAGAGCGTGCCTTTCATGGCTCTCCTACTCTTCTTCCACGCCACATGGTCCAGACCACTTCTTGCCAAGCTTTGTGGTTCAGAAGACCCGCATGGCTGAGAGCCTTTTTTTTTTTTTTTTTAAACAAATGATGCTATAATTCCAAATTAGTCAAGAACGTATAACTTAGTGAAATAACTTGCCTAGAAATGTTTTTGGTTACATAATTTTGTTTATCTGGAAAGGATTGCAAAACTTTTATATTTCTTTTGTTAAGGATAATTGGAGCCTTACTAGTATATTAGGGATCTTTCAACAGTAATCCTATGTAGTAGTTTTAAAACACACTAAATCATATTAAAATGATATACTGAGTATATATTCACACTTACTTCGTTAATGTTTTAGGTCTTTGGCCTTTGGGCCCATGCTATTTTTACATTTTTACATCATTGGATGGATGGATATTAATTTATTTATGAGGGAGATAGTTTAATTTGTACTTGCTAATGTTTTTTGTATTTCTTTTTTAATAGTTGTGTCGACTTTGATTTGAATGTAAACAATATTGTTGGAATAAGAAACACATTCCTTCTCAGAACTTATGCATACCGTAAGTTTTTGTCGATTTCCAAAATAATTATCAGCTATTCTGTTTATCCATCATTCTTTCTTCCTTTTTAAAGATGTTTGTATTAAATACTGACATCTCTGATTATATTAATGTATAATGTTTTATTTTTTTATATGTAAAATATGTTGCTTCACTAAAATTATATAGTGCCAGACTTATAGGTCAATAAAATGAATTTTAATAATTAGCAATTTTTAAAAAGGTAACTAAGGTATACTTTAGAAATAAGACACATTTATGGTGAGCACTGTTTAATACACAGGTGGTGCTTGTTTTATTGGCATGTAGTTGAGAAATGATGTAAACTTTCAAAGAAACTATACTATCTTCTTACCATTTTTAAGTTTAAATTTTACTTTCAGTTGAAAATCGAGTTCGTCCGTTAGTACTGGTGATTAAGAAGTGGGCAAGTCACCATGAGATAAATGATGCCAGTCGCGGTACTTTAAGCAGCTATAGTCTTGTATTGATGGTTTTGCACTATTTACAAAGTAAGTATTATGAGTTTTCCCCAATTTTTAAAATGGAAATGCAGTTAAACTTTATTATGTTGTCTTCCCTATTGACCCTAACTTCAAATAGCATTGTTTTAAAAATTTCATTTTAAGGCCCATTAGACAGTATTTTGTACTTTGTTGCTTTAATAAATGTTTTAGAAATATTTCCTGGAAAGCATTTAAAAGAAGTTTCGCAGTGTTTCTTTTTTTTGACAGTTATCTATATTCACTTTTATATTCGAAGAACTGTCATCACCGTATTGTGGAAACATTTTCTTGAGGGAGATGAATATAAAATAGGCCTATAAAAATAAACTCGTATATAATTCATCATGTTTTTTATTTTTCACTTGGAACAGGAATTAAATGATTTTCTTGTTGGTCAAAGAAGCTTTTATTCCCTGTGAGCCAGCATGGAGATAGGGTGAAAAACTTGATATTAATGTAATAGAAGACCATTTATCAGGATGTGTAGGATCTGATCTGTTCTGGATTAATGATATTCCACAGTTTAGAAAGCAATGTTGTAATATTTATGTTTATATCTTTGACTCATTAGCTCCATTTCTAGGAATTTATCGTAAGGTAGTAATCAGGGATGCTTTGTTGGATTTATTTATGAGGCTATTTTACTTGGTGTTTGTTGAACTAGTAAAAGATTAGAAATAATCTTAAGTTTTTAGGAATGGGGGATGATTAAATTAATTTGAGTATGCCCCAATGTGAAATTTATACAACCACAAAAACTCATGTTTTTCATATGTTTGTTTATTTATTTTTAGGGAGAGAGGAAGGGAGGGAGAACGGGTGAGAAACATTGATGTGTGGTTGCCTCTCACACACCCTGTACTGGGGACCTGGCCTGCAACCCAGGCATGCACCCTGACTGGGAATCGAACCAGCAACCTTTTGGCTCGCAGGCCGGCACTCAATCCCCTGAGCCACAACAGACAGGGCATCATACGTGTAATGATATATGAAAATATTGAAGATGTTTGAATTTGAGTTTGTGTGTATATATATATATTCATATGTGTAACAAATAATGTGCCAAAAATTTATTGGGTGATTTATGGACAGTAGGGTTTTGGGGTTTTTTTTTATTTGAATGATGGAGTCAGATGATTATTTTTGAGTTGGTGAGACTTAAAATAGTTGAATGCATCAAAGTTTTACGAATCAGTCATCAGAAAGTTTAATCTTTTTGTGGTCAAAAAACTTCAAGCTAAATAATATGTATTTTTATTGATGAACAGTCCTCTAAAAGGATTCAAAACATATGATTTTGGCTGTTTTAGATACTACTCTATATATCACTAATCAGTTTTTGTCCAATTTTGCAGTTCAGTCTAAAACATGGATTATTTTTGATGCTCTTTTAGTGAGCTCTGTCCAGTTCACATTTATTAACAATTGAACAGATTAGAAATATTTCTTATAAAATAGAAAGAATAAAATGACAAACCTCATGTACCACCAACTACTGTCTATTCATAATTTTTTAGTTTTAGTTGTGTTAAAAAGTAGATTTAACTAAAACATTTAACATGCATGAACATCCACAAGTGCCCTACTTCTCCATTCTTAATACATTACATTAGCAATTTTAATTTGATTGCCTTCTTTAGAAAAATGTACTTTAATCTCAGGTGCCCCAAGGTCTAGTTTTGAAAGCAAGTTGAAAATTCAAACATTAGTATTTTACTAGTGTAATGAAGTTATGTTTAAAATTTGGTTTAGATTGTTGTTAAACACATTTTATTTTTGTTAGAGTGGTCCCATTTACTCAGTTGGTTTGTAATTAATGGCACTATCATCAACCATTTCTAGGTACTAGGTCTTTGTTAAAGGACATCAGCAACTCTCCTTTGGCAAATTTAAGCCACTCCTCCCTAGAAGAAATAAGATTGAAATAAGTAGTTGCTTTTTTTGTCATACAAGAGTCTGCAAGGTGTATTGAGCAGTTACAGGTCTGCCATAATGAACTGGTGTTTCTGATTTTAGCCAAGTTGTTCTACTTCTCTGGCTCTAACATCCTCATCAATAACAGGAATAATTGGATTAGATGACCTTTAAGTTTTGTTTAACTTCATAAATGCTTTAATATTTTTTCTGCCATGAAAAGAAAAAGGAAACAGGTCCTCTGTATGTAGAAAGGTTGAAGAGATTAAAACATTTCCTAAAATGAATTTCAGTAGTCAGTAGTAGACTACATATACATAGGAGTAAAGTAAATATTTGAAAAACTACTAACTGCTTTGAGTTTGCTATCAGGATAGCGTTAGTAAATAACTGCTACAGTACATTAATTGCTTCTGTAATGACTAGTGTTTTTAAATTTTTAACATTTGTCAGACAGGGATTTACTGAATGATATACCTGTACCCAAAGCTTCCAAATTGCTTAGTTCTAAAGGCTCTTTTGTCTATTAAAAGACCTTAAACCAGTAATTAGTATTTGTATTAACTCTCATAGCATTCTAATTATAATTCTAGAATCTAGAATGAGGCAAACTTTCAAAAAAATTCATCCTCTTTTAAACTATAATGTTAATTTATTAGGAGTATTCAGTAGGAAAGGAATTCAGGCTTTTAATTAACTAATTTCTAATAAGATTTTCCAATTTAACTTCTATAACAAAAATTATTAGAAAGCCATTAAAATGTTATACAAATATAGAGACTTTTAGAATTAAAGTGACTAGGGCTTGAGTTTATTTGGAGCATCTCCTAGAATTTTGATCATTTGAATGCCTCTTGGGGAAACAAATGTATCATTTTTTTCTAAGAGTTACTCTGGTAAGTAATGAGTGAGTTTTTTCCTATAATATTCTTAGTCATACACTGTGAACATTCCCAACTATCATTGTATTTTATTTTGTTCCAATTTTCAACCTGGGAATGAAGCATGATATAGGGGAGAAATTTAAATAGTATGTTGGAGAAGTTTATACAGTTATAATCATAGTTGGAGATCATGTAAGTTGTTCATAATGATTGATTATATGTAGGTTAGTGTATTCCAGAAGTCATTTTAAACTGTTTTTGCTAAATAGCCAGTTAAAATGGTGAATTAAAGATTATTACTGAGTTTAATTATATACAGTGTTTTTCTAATTCTTAAATTATCATTGTTTATCATATGGTACTATATTTGTCTTAAATCTTAAATCTTGAAAATGCATTGTTTGTATCTTAACATTATTATGACATTATATATTAGTTATTTATTTTATTTTGGATATTGGGTATTTTACCTTTAAGGTCATTTACTGTATGATGGTGTAAAGTTACTGTTAATGCATTTAGTGAGGTTCCATTTGATAAAGCTATTGAAGGGTGAAGAATGACAATTAAAAATAGAGTAACATATGAAGATAATGATTCCTTTGTATAAAATTTTATTTTATAGAAGATTGGTTCAAATCTTCTGATTTAGATTTCTAAAATTTGCTGAGGCCTTCTTTTTAAAAATAAACAGTAGAGTTGAAGATTTTTTTTTTTCAGTTTTTTTCCTTTAGTAGATCAGTTTCTGGAAACTATCTTAATTTTAGTGTTGTTGTTTGTTAGAAAGAAATTAAATAATAAAGACACAATTGTGATAGAACCATTGTTGGACTGCATCATAGGAATGTACTTAAAATTTTTTTCTTGATAGTTACATTCATCTTAACAATGTCCATTCAATATCTGTAGAACAATCCTTGTCTTGTTTATTATGTGTGTGTGTCTGATGTTGGACCAAATGATGTGTGTCTATTTATTGATGGCCTATTATTTTAAAACCATAGAAGGAACATTGGTTTGCATAAAATACATAGATTATTAACAGACCTTAAATTTTTAACTTAGATATATTCTGAATTAAAATTTTTAGTGATCAGAATTAATCTCACAAAGTATATGGAAACTGTTGACTTTTAGCAGAAACCCTGGTAGTTTCATACTTGAGGGTATTAGCTGACAAATTATTGCTTTGTAAAATGAATTACATGAATCACAGAAGCTTTAAACTTTTTTTTTTATAGCCCTACCTGAACCCATCCTTCCATCCATCCAAAAAATTTACCCAGTAAGTGTTTCTTATAAATTATTACAATACGTATTATGACAAGTATATGTGGCACTATTTATTACATACAGTATTAATGTGAATAAAAAGTAGCAATAGTTACATAACTTTGTAAGTAGAGGCATTGGCTAGTAGAACATTAAAAATGTTTCATATACTTTCTTAGAAGACTGATACTTTCTTTTGTAATTGGCAGATAGCCTGGTCATTTTTGTTAATGGTGGGACTTTTTGCATGATACTCATGATTATCACTAACAGGAATAAAATTAGTCCCATTTCCGTAAATATAGTTTTACAGCATTCCTTTAGTTAATGCAGAAGTTTTTCGTTCCAGAGTATGTGTAATTTGAAAGCAGGGGAAAAAATTAAGACATTGAACAATTGGATAATCATGGTATCTTTTATTTGATCTTATTAAGTAGTACAGCAAAAGAGGTAACATTAGTACTCTCTCCTTGTGTGCATAATATTAAGAATCCTGCTAAGGCTACTTGGAAATACTTAAGAAATGAAATGTACCTACTAGAAAAAGTTTAGTAGGTACTCAGTTTGAGTTTAGAGAAACATAGGTAATGTACATATTCACAATATATATGAATACTTTTGTTTCTTCGGTTTTTTGTGTTCTTTCCAGAATTCTGTTTTCTTGTTTTGTAGTCCTACCATTTCTGTTTTCCTCCATAATCATCCTTGTTCCTGAGTTTATTTGGAAATAGTATTTAAGCTACTTGTTCCTAATGTTTGACCAACCATCTAAAACCACGTAATTTTTACCTGCTCATAAACTTACTAAATGGTCATATGACAAAGAAAAACATAGTGTATAGCTTGAATGATGAGTATTCAGTAACTTATTTATTTTGTATGTATCACAAAATTCAATAAATATACTTGACATGGAACCTGAATTAAATATAATTTAATCCTTGGTAATTGAGAAGAACTGATGTTCTTGTTTTTGAATGTCAGCTGTTGTAATACACATATGCAAGGGGCTGGATAATAAAGGGTTTACTGTAATAGAGTTTTGCTGTAGTGGGGTCATCTACTAGACCCCACTACAATTTGTGGTGGGTCATCTACTAGAAAACAGCATTTATAATAAAAACCTTTTGGAATTTGGGTATCTTATTTTTCTCCTTTTAAAACTAATTTCTGCTATTATGAAGAACCACTATAATGATTTTCCAGTATTACTAGGGACCAGTATGTATACTTTTAAACATAAAAAAGGAAAGCATTAGAAAGTATAGAAATAAAAGTAACTTAAATTTTTGGGTCTTATTCTTGAATGGTTTTCTCCCTCCATAAAGTATTGATTCTTTAGCTCATAGTGAAAGGTCAAAGATAATTACTGGGTGTTTACTATTTCATTTTATTGTCCCAACTTGATTTTTCTTTTAAGACCTAGGTTTCAGTATAGAAAGAGCTATTATATTTTTCAGTATCAAAGATCTAATAAACTTATTATTTTTTTATAAACTTATTTTTTAATGAATCTATTATTGTATATTGAATAAATGCTTCTGTAGAAATCTCACTTAAAACTCTGTGCTACATGAAATACTTTTTAGTAATTCAAAATACAGATGAATTCTCAGTTTATTGTGCTATGGTCAAGAACAGAGATATTGTTTTTATAAGATATCCAGGCTCTTACTGTATTCTAGTTTGAAGAGCCCTGTTTTTACTTCTGTGGGTTTTTTCCCCTAATTATTTAGCTTCTCCCCATGAGTCCTCATTTCTCTTAACATACACTCACTCTTACCCTACACTTTCCAACACTATTTTGGTAATCTTATTTCTTACCTGAAACAGATTTTAATACTTACCCAGCCCCAAGGCCTTAGCAGGACCTGCTAGATTTAAGATGTCTTAATTTATTTTCATTTGTGGTTACATTGCCATAAATACTTAAAGCACAGTATCTTTAATATACGATTGATGCTTACATGGATAAAGAAAAACTATCCCCTCTTAAAAGATTTTTTGTTTTATCTGATCCCTGTCAGCTGATTGATCAGTAGAGTGCTTTCCTCAATGGTCCATCTGATAGAACAAGCAAATGGGCTTGCTTCTTATTACTAATAACTATCACTTAATATCTATTTTTGTCAGCACACTGTAAATGTTATACGCAGTACCTTTAATTCTAAACAAATAAGCTTGTAAGGTAGGATCCTTGTTTCACAGATGAAGAAACTTAAAAAAGTTACATGATTCATCCAGACTGTTTAGTTACAAATTATGGATCCAGAAACTAGTATTTTTTCTATTATATCATACTGCCTGAGGAAAGGCAAAAATGATCATAGTCACTAAAATATCTTTTTATCTAATTTCTATTGCTTATTACATTTTGTTTGTGTATATCTTATTATTCCTTTGTAGAAAAGCAGATATGACAATTTCAGGTTGTGTAAATGTTTGAGAATGACTTAAAACTTTAAGGAGAAAAACTTTACTTTTCAAGAGAAAAAGATTCTTTTAAATTTTGAGCTCTAATATAAACAAAATAAAATTTTTTAAAAATGATAAAAATTTTGGACTACAATGAAATTTGTTCAGTATATTATGCCCTTTTTAGTACTTTGTGTCTTTTCTCACAATTAATGACAATTAATGATAAAATATTTGTTTTAAAAATTGGTATATTTCAATTCAGTTATAATACTAAATTACAAAAGAAAAGATGAAAATATACCTTTATTTTCAAAACTATATAATATTTAGCATTATTGATTATAACTAATTAATTCTTAAAAAAGCATCATAGGTGGTAAAAAGTACTGACTATTGAGTTAAAGTGATGAAGCTGAGATAGTTTAAATATATAAACTCAGGTTAAGCTTAGGAAGGGGTCTTTATTTGAATTCAAGCATATTATTATGAGTTTTACTTAGATTTATGCTGGGTAGATTTATCAAGACAAGTTTTATTTGTTTCCTTTACTAATAGTATCTTCATATTGCAGGAAGATATTTGTGTTAACAGAATAGAGAACAGAATAGAGAAAATAATCCTTTTTTTATGGTTGTAAAATAAAGAATTTTGAGAAGGTATAGTTCCTCTATGCAGTTATATATTGAAAATACATTGAATTTTACATGTATACATATATACACATACAGCAACTTTTTTTCAGTTTAAAAATGTTTTATTTATTTATTCTTCTTATTATTTAATCCTCACCAGAGGATATGTTTATTGATTTTAAAGATACAGGAGTGGGGAGGAGAGAGAGAGAAACGTCATTTGGTTGCCTCTTGTACATGCCTGGACCGGGGATTGAACCTGTAACCTAGATATATGCCCTGACTGGGAATAGAACCCACAGTCTTTTGGTGTATGGGACAGCAAACAATGCAACTGAGCCACCTGGCCAGGGCAACTTCTTTCAGTTTTAAAATGAGTGTAACATGAAGGATATAATTAGTTATATAAAATAGGCTTTAAATGAATACTTTTGAAAAGACAAACATTTTTGGTGAAGATTTATTTTTTAAAATGGCAATAAAATCATTGTTTTAAAGTTGACATTACTTAAATTTTGAAAATCATAAGGAATTTAATTTTGAAATTATACAAGTTTCAGCACATGAACACACTGTATTATTATATAAATGTACAGTTATAATAATACCTGTCACTCTATAATGAATAGGTAATACTATTGCTGCTATGCTTTATGTACATTGTATCATTTAATCTTTATAACAACTCTAAGAATACTGTTGTTTTCTTTATATTATAGATGAAGAAGCTGAACATGTGCAAAGCTAGGTAATTTCATATAACTAACAGAAGAGGAAAATTTCAAACCTAGGTCATCTGACTTCAAAGCTCATGGCCTTAACCGCCTTTTTATAGCACTTATACTTTATGTTAAATACTTAGATTGATTCCAAAACTAAAAATCTCACTAAAATCTGATATAATTTAAAAGAAATTGGCGATCAGTCTTCAACACACATCCCCAGATTGGTGGTGATCTGCATACAGTTAAGAAAGCTTGGTAGAATTTCAATATATTTTTTTGTTCTTTATCTGTTTGGGTAAAACTCTCCTTAAGTATTCCATATCAATTATCTTTTAATTTGCAACCTTCCTCAATATATATTTCTAGGATCTAATGATTCAAATTGTTAGAAAAGTATGCAACTTAAATTGATTGTTTGCCTGTAGGTACAAAACAGTCATCTTTCATTTAAGCTATACATTGTTTTAAGGAACAGTTACCAAGTGAAAGTTTAGCCAGTCTAATTTATTCCATAAAGTGCTTAATTATCTAGATTTCAAACTCGGAAGGTGAAGAATTATGGCACAGCCTCAGAAAAATGGTGGATTATGACAAAAGGTTTTTTTTTGCCATTTTTGGTAGGCAATTATATTGGCAAAACAGTGAAACTTTTCAGATGTTTTTCAAGGGATTGCCTTTTACATTTTTTCTTACCTTGGCATTGATTGAAGAGAAATGGAAGAATATGTAGCCTTAAAAATATCAGCATTTAAATATCAGTTGGAATTAAGTCATTACACATTTGGTTATTAAAAGCCCAAAATAATATATAACCTTAAAAAGTAGTAAAAATGTATTTCCAGTTAAAAAGAACAAAAAAATAAAAAACAAAAAAGTCTTCATTAAAAAAAGAAACAGTAGTAAATATCAGTAATCTAAAAAAAAAGGCTTTTAAAAATAGATGTACATTATATCACTTAAATGGTCTTTCCATGAATTTAGGTTATAAATTTAAGGCTTCTCCCCCTGCCTTTGGCTCTTTATGTGCTTTCAAATATGTTAGCTTAAATTCTATCCACCCCATGCTACCCAAAGTAGCATATATTACTCTTAAATAAATAACTGCAGTGGAAAAAAAGGCTTTTGAAAAAAAAACACCTGTTGAAATTTTTCTTAAAGCAGAGAATCTTTCTGTAATGTGAACCCAAAATGGGGAGTTTTTAAGATTAAATGGAATTACTATTTACTTGTAGCCTCTTTTGGACTTGATTAATTTATTTATGTTTCCCCTTCAGTTCTACCTCAGTGTGTATAAAATGCGGTCCTCTGTGACTGTGAAAAAGAATAATGAAGCTAAGAGGAGACTGGCTAGACTGGTCCATGGTCACTCAAACCTGTTAGTAGAATAGGTCTCAACTTCAGTTTTCATGTCACAATTGCTGACATTTTTCTTTAAATTATTGAACAAAATAAAAATTTTAAAGGAGGTTCAAACAGTTTTAAACTTAAGGTAAGAAAATAATTTCTATTTCAGCATCAGTTCATAAATTGCATGCTTAATGTGCTAGGTGCTAAAATTAGTAAGAAACTTTCAGAGAAGAAGCTATTAAATTGTGACCCACTTTTCTTTACCTTGTCATTTGAATTTTTATATCTTTTTCTTTAATTTGCCAGAAAATAATATTTAAATTTTAAAATTTTAAATAATGTCCTAAGTCCAATTTTACACATAACAAGTAAGAGACAAAAGGTAGTAGAGGTAGTAGAGTACCTACTCTACTTTCTGCTTTTACTCTTTATTGTAAATGGAAGCTTTTTTCCTACTCTTCTAGTCTAAGAAACAATTAAGATACCTGTTTGTAACATTAAGTCTGTTAGAAGTGGAAGGGGAAGTCTCAAGTTTAGGAGTGCCAGCTTTAAGAATTGTAATTGGAGTAGAATTTTTCTTCTGAGGAAATCACTTCCTGGTAGTTAAAAATTACTAATGGCATTATAGATAATGGAGTAGAGGAGGGTTTTTTTGGGGGGTTTTTTTGTTTTTTTTTTTTTAATTTTTGTTGCTCCTTTGTTTTTTACTGATGATTTTTGAGGGCTACCATAAAGTAGGTGCTATACCCTATTTCTCTGTATGACAATGTAATCACAGTGGAGTTATTTAGACATTACTAACTGAATTGATGTAAATAAACCCAAGATTGATTTGTTAGCATTGGGAACCGTAAGTGTAATTGTCATTCTGTTGCCTTAACTAATTGCTTTTAAAAAAAAAAAAACCTATTTCTACTCTGATGTCAAAGGGAGCTGTAGAAAACTCTTCTTTGGTTTAATTTTAATTTTTAAAAGTTTTTATTGTATTTCTTTTCCATTACCATTTAGTCCCCTTATACCCCACCTTTCCCCAGCAATCGCCACACTGTTACCCATGTCCATGAGTCCTTTTTTCCTTTTTGCTCAATCCCTCCACCCCCTAACCTCCCACACAACTAGCTCTCATCATGCTCTCCATCTATGAGTCTCCATTTTTCTTGTTAGTTCAGTTTGTTCATTAGATTCCACATATGAGTGAAATCATATGGCATTTGTCTTTGGCTTATTTCACTTAACATAATGTTCTCTAAGTCCATCCAAAATGTTGCAAGGTGTAAAATTTTCTTCTTTTTTATGCCTGATGGTGGTTATTCCACTCTGTAAATGTAAATTGGTGCAGCCACTGTGGAAAGCAGTATGGAGATACCTTAAAAAATTAGAAATGGATATGCTTTTTGACCCAGTGATCCCACTTCTGGAAATAAATTCGAAGGAACCCAAAACACTAATTTGAAAGAACATAAGCCCCTCTCAAGTTCATTGCAGCAGCATTCACAATTGCCAAGATATGGAAGCAGCCCAAGTATCCATCAATAGATGAGTGGATAAAACAACTATGGCAAATTCAGAAAACCCTTTTTGAGGGCACTGTGCAAGTTACCTTAGAAAGATTGTTTTTTAACAAATGAACGTGTATTATTTGAAGCTCTATAGTTTAGTGCATTTCAGAGCCAGAACTTGGTGCTATTAGATGAAAGATTAAATATGAAAATTAATGGCATACCATTGGCCAGAAGAATAAGCACACATTAGTATTCTTTCTTAGAAGTATATTCTTTGGTCCTGGATTGTAAGCAAATGATAACTTTCTTTATGAATGTAATGGTAAAAATTTACTGAATATTGCTTACTGGTATGTTTCCTATCTTTCTTCTCTTCCCAGCCCTCTTTGTCTTTTCAAGTTCAGTTCGTGTTGGATGTCTATCTTCTCCTCCCTCCTAGATACACATTACAAAAACAAAATAAAACAAAACAATTTAAAATTGGTATGAGTACTATTCATATGTTAAAGTTACTTTTATGGCTTTTGAGAGAAATTTTAACTGGCAGTTAGAAAGAGCTCTTACCTGGTGCTTGATATAGCCTTCATAAAGTACAACTTCTCCTTGTAAAAATAATTTAAGAATGAGATACATTTGTAAAGAAACCTGTATGTTATTGGATGGAATTTTGGTATGTACAGTAAGGTTTTATTTATGAGTTAGAAAATCTTTTGCTACCATATGGATCCATTGGTTGCTCTATCTCAGCCAAGGATTAGAATATCTTAGTTTTTTACATACTTTCCTGGCCTATGCCAAACACTGGTGAAATATTAAGTGTAAGAAAATCTTCAAATTTCCAAATTGCAGACATGTAAAAAAATGTCTTCTTTCTTCTTCAGAGAAATTTAGATGAGGATTTATAAAGTTGTTAGTGTGTGTTAGTGTAATGGCTTTACATTTCCCCTCCTTTTTTTTTTCTTACAGGAATCTTTTAGTCCTACTATACAGCTGCACCTTGTACATCAAGTTCCATGTGATGTTCCTCCTTACCTCTCAAAGAATGAATCAAATCTTGGGGACCTCTTACTGGGCTTTCTTAAATATTATGCTACAGAATTTGAGTAAGTGAAACCACAAATTAATTGTTTATTTATATATAAGTGAATACTACCAATTTGGTCAAGAAGTTAAATTTGTCAATTTCAATGCTGTAAACTTGTCCAGAAATGTGTAGTGTATAAAATTCAATATCTAAAGATTAATTAAGAAACTAAGTAGATACCATATTCCTAGTTAATAAAAAATTATAGTTTTATTAAGTCCAGTTTTAGTTGATTTTATTAGTGGTCCCATTTTATGGTTAGCTGCCTCTATATAGTAGGGCCTGAATGAATGTGTTGATGCTGTGTAGGTACTATATAGTTTGGAACATCTATTTTTAGGTACTTAAATTTTCTAGTGAAAAACAGCTAAGACACACTTGGAAAAAGAATTACTTAATACCTGATGTCTGAATTAAATAGTTGTATTACATGATATATAAATCAAATAACACTTTTCCTTTATTTTGAGGGTGATGTGTAAATATGAAAGATTAAAGTATATCATCAGACTGGATATAACTGAAAGTTCTTATGGGAATTCTTAGTTGATAGAGTGGGCAGCTATTCTGATCAATTCAGAAGACCTTGAAGGAGGAAAGAGAAAGGACTTAGGAATTGTCCAAATTTAGAGGAGAAGGGTACAGTGACCATGAGGTCCTACTTTGAAGAGGTTTGGAGAGAGGATAATAATAGTAATAACATAGTAATAAACTGTTCTACAAAGATTATATGTATTATCTCATTCAGTTTATGTAATAACCATATAAGATGTTTTTTGCCCATTTTACCAGTGAGACATATAGAGAGGGTGAGAAACTTGCCGTAAGATCACATAGCTTGTAAGGAGAATATTTCAGGTAGTTTTGACTATAACATTCATGCTCTTTAACTATGATAGTTCATTGCAATACTGATATTGCAGTAAATATCTGCTATGGTGCAGTAGCACTAAAGAAAAGTGACTTATATAAGATGATTTGAAAATAGGGCATGAAAGATGAAATGTTATTTAAATTTCTCAAAGCTTATACCAGATTGTGCCTGTTTAGTTTACAGTTGTGTCTCCAGTACCTAGCTAGCCCAGTGCCAAATAGTGGGTACTTGACAAATACTTGCTATAAATAAATAATTTTAAAGCAGAAAGTCAGATTGTGAATGTGATTCAAAGATTCTTAAGATGACTAAAATTACAAAATTAGATTAAGAAAAGGAGTAGGAAAAGTGCTGGAGGAAAGTAGTTCAATAAGAATGAAGTTATAGTAGCCCAGGTTAAAAAGACCTAAATATAGGTCCAGACAACATGGATAAAAAAGCGGGAGCCTTCATTTATGTAAAGATGAGGGGAGATTTAAGAGTATATTAAACATGGGCCATAAGAAACTGTAAAGGTTTTCTAGAGTTCAGATATTGCAATAACAAAAGCTAATGTTTAGTGAGTATTTCTTTATCTAGTGTCCTTGGAGTAGACTAAATGATTTCCATGTATTATGTCATTTAAACCTCAAAATAACACCCTGCCAAGCTTATAAAATTTGTGTACTTAAAACTTGCCCATGGCAATACAGCAGATACAGTGAGAGAACTGGGATTCAAGGTCAGGTCTGACTACAAAACTACAATTTAAATTGTTAGCCCATATTGACATCATCTGTTGTGTCATGTGAATTAGGGATTGGGAAAAATTTATGTGGAGAGAAAATGATTCATAGGAGAAGGTTACAGTTTTGCTGTGTATAGTTTAGTATTAGAGCAGCTATATACAGACACCTTGAAAATCACTGCTTCATTGGACTGAAACGAGATGGTAGACGTGCAGGTTTGTGTGTTAGTTTTAGCATTAGCACAAACTAGCTTGCTCTTATGCCAAATGATACTGGCAAGGATGCTGATGGTTGAAAGAGGCTTCGAACTTTTGTATGCATTTGTTATCTCCCTGATACCTGATATAGGAGCCATCTTCTCCTACTCTTTCATCTTACAGTGCATTTGTCAAGTGCATTATTGTTCCATATCAGATATTTTCAGAAATTTGATGGTAGGGAGCAAAGCCAAGAACGTAGTCATGGTAATGAACTAAGTGCTGTGCAAAATTCTGACAGCTGTTAGAAATGTTTGTAAGGATTTCTTCTGAACTTTGAAATATTCAATTAAAAAATTCTTATACTTGAAGACATAATTAAGTAACTTTTAAGTGATGCTTGTACATATGGTATAAATGTTGCAGAAATTTTATATGGCCATTTAAAAATTACTAAGAATTTCTTACCTACTTCACTCGCAGCTTACTCCCAAACCTTGCTGCTGAAAATTCTCACAGTGAAGCCAGGCTTCTAAAACTATCTGGGAACAGGGAACTGAAAAAATGGGGGGCGGTGCGGGGGCAGCACGGGGAAGAATCAGGTAACTCAGGGAATCGAAAAAAATACAGTCAGAATGTAATCTTGTATTTTAACAAAACAAAAGAAAAATATAAGTTCTGAATATTATGGACTCATAGATACTGGAGAGTCTATGAACCTTTAAAGTTACCTATTTTATAGTCCTCTTTACTTCCTGGATGCCTAATCACATGTATCTATTGCTAGTCTCTCTGTTGAATTAACAATACATACCTATATGCTTAAAAACCTGCAATTTTTAGAGAATTTCTTTTTTGTTTTTTTAACTTTTAGTTATTTAATATTTTAGAGAGGGGAAGGGAGGGAGAGAAACATTGATGTGAGGAACATCGATCAGTTTGCCTCTTGTACCTGCCTCAGCTGGGGACTGAACCCTCAACCTAGGCATGTGCTCTGAATGAGAGTTGAACTGGGAACCTTTTGCTCTGCAGGATGATGTCCAGCCAACTCAGCCACATTGGGTCAGGCCAACACATGCATTTTTTAATAAGGAATATACGAAGGCCGAAGTTTTTAATCCCTTTTTTTGTTCTCCTTTTCTTCTCTCATTTTATTTAATCAGTAAATCATTGAGTGACTACTGTATACCAAGCTATTTTTTATGTACTAGGGATATATTATAGCAGTTAACAGAACAGGCATGAAGAGAGATGATGACTCAAAACAGGCATGAATCCTTATCTTTATGGAGCTTACATTATAGTATGGAGAGGCATTTGAGTTACTGTTAATTTCTAGATGCTGTTGGTATTATAAACAACAATGGTCTTATTCTTAAGAGATAAATGCTAAAGGATAAAGACATGAAGTTTTGTGGTATCTACAGCTTAATAGATGGTTCAGTTTAAAACATACATATACACAAACAAGTAAATGTGGCAAAATGTTAACTGTTGAATTGTTTTTGAATTTTATGCTTTTCAGTTTTTCTCTTTGAAAATTTCATAATACAAAGATGAAGTACAAATGAGATTAGGGATGAGAAGGAACTAATATATAACCTAAAAAGGAGTAATCATTGAGGTAGGAGGTAAGCCAATCAAATGTAGTGTCTTGAAATCCAAAGAAATGTTTTGAGGAGAAGGGAGTGATTATCTGTGTCACATTTTTTGGTAGATCAAGTACAAAATGAGAACTAAAAACTGATCATTGGCACATTGGTTCACATGGAGACCACTCACTGGGCCTTTGGCAGGAGCAGTTTCTGTGGAATAATGGGGATAAAAGCATCATTGGTGTGGGCTTAAGAGAGAACAGAAAGAGAATTAGATATAGATAGGTTAGTGTATATAAATTCTAGAGGAATTTACATACTTGTAAAGGGGAGTAGGAAAATGGAATAGAAGTTGAACAATTAAGTGGGGTTGAGTTTTTGGTTTTATTTTGAGATACAAGAAATAACCCATATTGATGGCAAAATTGATGATACCTGGAAAAGACATAGTAAATTGTTAAACAGTATACATACTTGTTTGAATCAAGAGGAGTTGGAATCACCCTGGTTGGGTTGCTCAGTTAGTTGGAGTGTCGTCCTGTACACAAAAAGGTAGCAGATTTGATTCTCTGTCAGGACACATACCTAGGTTGCAAGTTTGATCCCAGTTGGGGCAGATATGGAAGGCAACCAATCAACATTTCTCTCTTACATTAATGTTTCTCTCTCTCTCTCTTTCTCCTCTTCCTCTCCTCTCTAAAATCAGTAAAACATATCTTTGGGTGAGGAATTAATGAGAAAAAGCAGAATATGTATATGGATACAGATGAATGTATGTGGTGGGGGCTAGTGAAAAATGATCTTGATTGCTTTAGGGTTTTTTGGTGAAATCAAGTATGAACATCATCTGGGAATGATTAGGAGGGAGGACATTTGAGAAGTGAGGAGAAGATAATGAATTTTCATGTAGGAGAATAAAGAAACTATGGAAGTAAAGTATGATTGGTGTGTGGTAGCTTTTAGGGTCCTTTGAGCTAAGACATCATGAATTTAAAGTGATCATGAACTTAAAGTTTAGCAGGGTTGCATGTTTTCCTTCAGCCATGTTTAGCTGTATGGGAAAGAATTGGAGTACAAGATTTAATTATGGTTGTGTTTCAGCCAAGTAAGTTCAATGCAGCAAAAGCAAGTAGGAGAGTTAAGGAAATGTACAAGGAAGTGATTTTAATAATTGACCATAGACAGAATATATTAGACTTAATCTTGAAACTGTAGGCACAGGGATACCTATAGGACATCCAATTGGCAGTTTCCAATAGTTAGTGGTAAATACTGGCCTGAGACCTACTAGAAAGTTAAGAGTTGGAGAAAAGGATTTTGTAAAATTAAATAGTGTATTAAAGCCTAGAATGGGTGTTCTAGCATTAGAAGAAGACTGAAAGAGGCTAGGCCCTGATGGACACTAGCATTTAAAGGGTTAGTGCAAAGAGCCGCCAGTCAAAACAAAACTCTCCGATTAGAGTAGCTTTTTTCCTCTGCTTAAGAGGTTTCAAATCCCTTAAATAGTTTTCTTTTTTGTTTGCTTCCCAGCTTTTAATAATAAAACAAAACTATATACATTTGTTCACTTAATTAGACAAGTCATATATATGCAGCCATGTGGTATCAGACCCATAATTTTGACTTTGTTGGAGTTAAATTATTCTTTGTAATGTTGCTGAAGACTACATTTCCAATTTCATCAATCATCTCAGAATACTTTGTCACAGAAAGAATGGCTAAAAGAGAGTTAATAGATGAGTACCAGTTCGTTATTACTACTGAAGAAGAGAAGCACACATCTTACCAATATAGAGTCAGTATCTCAGTTTCATATTCAGAAAATTATTATATATTGTCAGATCTATTTCGGATTAATTAAGCCCCATATCTGTTCTTCTATTCTTTTGTGAAACATCCTTCTTCTATAGACTGTATCTTATTTTCTGCTTTAATTGATTAGTGACAATAACAGATTTTCACACGGCAAGCAAATTATAGTAGAGAAATATGGTATAACAAAAGGCTTAATTTAGGTCCTGTTTGTATTAGAGAATGAAATATTTAGGGAAAATATTTCTAAATTATGACTTCAATTCTACTTTAAAATTTTACCTCTAAGCGTAAAAATAATATATGTTATATATCATTTTTTATAATTTGAAATATTTTATAATTTAGAAGTATTTAAAAGTTCTTTGAAAATGAAGTATATTGAATCAGTATAAGTGGCAGTGATTCAAAATATTCTTTTTTTTTCTCTGAAGTTTTCAGTATTTCTGATGATATAGTCATTTAAATAACTGCATTGTTGGGGTTAAGCATTGAAGCTTAAATGATACCTGGTTATGGATAATAAAGTGAACATAGGTATGTTACATATGTTTCTGTTATTCAGTTTAGAACCAAATACTGGTGTGTAATAAAAAGTCAGGATTGGATTTAACAGAAATATAGTGGTGAGGGGAGTTCCTTTGGTATAAGGAAGTAAAAGTTGTAATTTAACAGCAGGACACAGTATTTCAATATTGTAAGCTTGTCTGAAAGGAAAAACCAATCTACCCCCTTTTAACATACTGTTTCCAATTTTAATTGTACTACAGATTCAACTGTCCTATAAGTTGACATTAGAAATAGGTAGTCTCAGGAAAAAAAGTTTATTTCATTAATGAAATTTGTCTTCAGTGGTACAAAGTCAAGTAGCACAAAGTTTAATTCTACTGTAATCTTATTTAGTTCAGGCATATGGTTATATAACTCTCCTCTTTACTTTGCTATTTTTAAGAAAATTTTAGAAATACACTTGAAACAATAGAGCAGTATACTTCTTTTCTGTTTTGAATCCATGGTGCTCTACATAAAGGATCTAAAACATCTTCCAAGAACCAATACTAAGTATTTTCTTTGACAATCCACTTATTTTTTTAAAGCATAAATTCTGATATATATATTTTTAAATAACTTAAAGCTATCTTTGTAAAGTAGAGGGCGGGGCAAAAGCAGGTTTATAGTTCTGAGTATGAGAAACAGTTTATTTTTGTATTACTGTTTATTTATTATTGTATTATTTTCCATACAAACAACTGTAAACCTACTTTTGTCACACTCTATATTTCTAAACTGTACTTTTTTTTTTAATCCTCACCCAAGGATAAGTTTATTGATTTTAGAGAGAAGAGAGGAGAGGAAAGGGGAGGGGAGGGGAGAGGAGAGAAGGAGAGGAAAGGGATAGCTAAAGAAGAGGAGAGGGAGAGGCAGGGAGAGGGTAAGGAGAGGGAAGGGAGGGAGGAGGGAGGGGAGGGGAAGAGGAGGGAGAGAGGAGGTGGGGAGGGGAGACACATCGATGTGAGAAAGAAACGTAGAGTGGTTGCCTTCCATATGCACCCTGACTGGGTGTTAAACCCACAACCTTCTGGTGTATGGGGCGACACTTCACCCAACTGAGCCAGCTGGCCAGGACTCTGAACTGTACTCCTGATAAGAAAATGTAGAAAACCATACTTTGGGGATTTTTTCCATGATCAAACTTTACAAGTTACAATATTTTGTTGAATATTTAACAAATTAATCAATTTTCCAGAAACAAATGCCATATTGGACCGACAGTTATATTCTTAAGGATTTTCTATCTAATAAACACAGGAAGAGCAGGGTGACTGTTGGACTTGGAAGGTCCCAAAGCCATGGTCTTGCTCTTATTGAAATGGTGGAGAAAGCTAAGTAGGGCTGGAAAAAAAGATATCAGTTATTCTTCAAACTAATTTCTCTCTCGTATACAGATTGAGTAGTTATACATGTTAGAATGATCCTTGAAAAAAGAAAATAGTACTTTTACAAAACTGTTATAATTGTAAAGAAATTTTGAAAAAACAATGTAATGTTAGTATGTGCTAAAGACTAAACAATTTGTCTTCAGTCATGCAGATAAAAATTATTTTATTTGAATAAAACTTCACTATTAACTGCTACATCTATATATAATGTATGTTTTCACAGTATATTAATGTTTTCATAGAGTATTAATTTTATTTTCCTAAACCAGCATCTACTTGCTTCTATTGGAAAATATAAAGAGTTTTTTCCAAATCATATAAATAGATATGTACCTGAACAAAAATTACTTAATAGTATCAGAAAACAACACAAGATTACCTCTTAAATAAAAAATTCTTTATGGGATATTAACAATGAATATAGTTCTTACATTTTTTGCTTCCTTACACATTCTTATTTTTTTATATTCCTATATTCAATAAGTAAGTATTAAGTGCCTAATTTGTATTACACAACTAGTTGAACAGTGAAAAAATACAGAAATTATTTAGCATCTTGGAGACATGCCATAAACAGCAATAACTAAACAAATTGTTAAACTATAAGTGCTATGGAAAAAAAAGAAGTAGAGAAGGGAAATAGGGATTGTGTTGGTTGAGGGTTGAAGCAAGTTTCATTATCCTTTGTGAAAATCAGACAAGGCCTTACTACTGATATAATAAAAACAAGAAAGGGGAAGTTAAAACAGTTAACATGATTAACATGATTAATAAGATTTTTCTTCTTATAGCTGGAACAGTCAAATGATTTCAGTTCGTGAAGCCAAAGCCATTCCTAGGCCTGATGGTATTGAATGGAGAAATAAATACATCTGTGTAGAAGGTAGCTTTCACACAAGTACTCTATCATTCAGTTATCATCATGTTTCTAAGAGAATTAGTTGAATAATTTAATCTTTTATCATTGTAAAGTAGTAAGTTTATGTTCTGAAGTGATTTTACAAATCTTTTAGTTATAAGATTTTAATTTAATTTTTTATTTTTTAACTTTATTGTTTACACTATTATAGATGTCCCCATTCCCCCCACCCTCTTTGACCACCTCCAGAATAATTTTAACTTATTTGTAGGAAATAACAAACATGAATTTAGGTGTCTAGTGTTTCCAGTTGATAAGATTTGACCAGTCTTTATGTATCCCTACTGTTTATAGTTGATGGAAACTTAATTTCATGATTTACAGGTAGAAGAAAATATTATCTTTATGTGATGATTTTTTTTTTTTGAAGATTTGATTTATTGATTTTTAGAGAGAGGGAAAGGGAAGAAGAAAGAGAGGGAGAGAAACATGTGTGAGAGAAACATGGATCTGTTGCCTCACGCATGCCCCCAACTGGACCCCTGGCCCTCACCAGGCATCTGCCCTGACCAGGAATCGAACCTGCGACCTTCCGATTCTCAGACTGGTACTCAATGCACTGAGCCACACCAGCCAGGGCGTGATGATTCTTATCTTGAAATAAAATCAGTTCTTTTTTACTTAAAATATTGATACTTAATGCAAACTACATTTTTATGAATAGAAACTGATTTGGCTTAAAAAATTAAATGCTCTGAGATATTCTGTTATCTAAAATTAATTTACATGTGGTTGAATATTGACTTAGTTTTTAGCTCCTCTCTCACTTGAACTCTTTCCACTTTATTAGACAGTCCATAGCTATATAAAACTATTTTTAATATGTATAAATCTAACAAGATATTTGGCTGAACCATATGCAGTTGCTTTTTTCTAGGTCAAAAACTGTCAAATATTGACAATTTAATATAGTTAAAATAAACAAAACTGAAGCTCCCATTTTAATAATTTGTTGTTTGTATGTGCATTTAACATTGCAGAACCTTTTGATGGAACAAATACAGCCAGAGCTGTACATGAAAAGCAGAAATTTGACATGATAAAGGATCAATTTTTAAAGGTAAATAGTGTACCAGGTTAAGTCTTAAAAACATTAGAGAACTATTGTGCTTTGAAAATGAAATACAGATGTAATGGGACAGAATAGCTCTGGTTTTTTTTGTTCTGAAGCCATTAATGTGGCACAACAGGGAATTTATTACTCGAATTTAGGTATACTTTCCCTTCAGAAAGATCTGGCTCTGTTTTCACTCACATGGCTTTCATTTCGTGGAAATAAACTTTTCCATAGTGACTTACTAAACTAACAAAATGAGTGACTAAAGCCTGATGGACTTCTTTGCCTCCTAAAATATTGGGGGACTTATTGTAGCCTTTAAAGAAAGCTGATGTCAGTCATATATACATATACACACACATACACATATGTGTATATATACACATACACACATATACATATATACTGTAGTTTACTTCTTAGCTTTTTAGTCCACAGTATGAATCTATTCATCAGTAATATTGTTAGGTGTAGTTTCTGTCTTCAAGGAATTCTACATTACAGTGTAGAAACATACTGATAGCATATATACTATGAGACGTGCAGGAGAAATGCTTCATATAAGAAAAAGATCAGTGAACTGTGAAAATCATTTCAGAGGCATACTTTTTCATTATTAAGACATATAAGTGGATTTTATTTGATGGTAATTAAAAATGCAGGTATATTACTAGCTGTTCTTCAAATTAGGCCCTCTCAATTGTCAGCCAGAATAGGAAATTTTAAATGAATGGAATTCTGCAGGACAAAACAAATATCCAAGAGGGAATATTTTTGTCTGTCAGATTAAGTTGAAAACTCAAAAATAGCATTGCTTACATTGCTGTTTTATTTATGGGTGAGCTTCCTTCAGTTCCTTTTTTTCCCCCCTTAACCAATTCTACTTACTTGTCTTTTCTAGAGGCAAGTAAAAAGTGTTTATTAAAGATTTACTGTCTCCTTTATAAATACTATTTTTAATTGGAAACGCTTACTGGATGCCAAATAGTCAATAAGATAATTGAATTTATCTTCCCTTATTCTCTCAAACCCAAAGGTTTTGTTTTAATTACATTGTACCTTGCTGTTAAAGATGAAATTACTTAAATTTGTGAATAAATGTTAATATTATCAGTTGCATCTTTTTGTACCACCTATACGTCCATTTCTTTGTTAATGAGTAGAAGTCATTCATATAGGTATAGAGTTTTTAAATAATGTTTTCTGATGACAGGAACAATCCTTGTACTATGTTAAAAACTTGGGAGATAAAAACACAAAGAAGAAAAAAACCACCCCAAATTTTACAACCTAGAGAGAACTACTATTAACATTTTAGTAACTTTCCTTTCAGTCTCTGTTCTGCATATATTTTAGGTTTTAAAAATAATTTTCCTTTCTCTCACAGTCATGGCACAGATTGAAAAACAAAAAAGATTTGAACAGTATACTACCTTTAAGAGCTGCTGTCCTGAAAAGATGACTGGCCTCTCTATTTCTTAATGAATTCTTCTGAGACATAAAGAACAATAGTAACACCATAAAACATTTTGTTTACCTCCATTATAGTTTCTTTTCATTGTTCTGTCTTCATGTTTTATTTTTAAGAGGACATACTTATATAAAGATTGCATATTTTATTATGACATTTCCTAATAAAACCCTTTGATTTAAAGATGTATTTTTGAAAATGTTTACATTGATGATTAGTAATATTATGGCATGAATTTTCAGGCAATCAGATAAAATATTTTTTGGGGAATTATCTGAACAAATAAAAGGTTTTTGATATAACTGCAATTCATTGTACCACATGCTAATACTGAAGAGATTTGTGGAATTTTGGAAAGTGTAATACACAGTAGTTTGTTGCCTGTCTGTTCTAGTAAAGTGAAGATTCAAGTCAGTTATTCAGTTACTTGAAGCAAAATGAAATCTTTCATTTCAATGAAATCACTGCAGAGGCATGAAATACTGGACAATTGCCTTAAGTCTTCACTTGACTCACCAGAATAGAGGCTTTGGGTGTGTCTGTATTAGCATTTCATTAGTACCTCACATGCTTTTGATGTACTTTTGAGATTGCTTTAAATTTTTTGTAACAAAAGTACCTTTTGCACTGTAGTAATGTGAGTTCTAACTCTGTATTGTACAGCAGTTAGTTCATTGTTTTAAAAAATTAGTTCAGTGTAGACATTTTAAAAAGATTAAGTCTCCTGTGCTTTATGGTAGTTTAGTGCAATAAGCGCTTTAGCTTTACTTCCCATTTTTATGCTTTTATTTTCCCTGTGACATGAAGCAACAGAAACTTAAAGCTCAAAGTTGAGATTATATCCTATTGATTGCATCAGATTTTTTTCTGTGTACAATTGTAGGATTGTAATCTAAACTGGAATTTTTAGGAAGTAAGCCTCTATAAAATGCTTTCGGGTAAGACATAAAATTATTATAAATAAAAGCTTAATGTTTGTAAAGATATCTTTTTTAGTGGTTCTTTTCCACATGAAGAATAGTGGTGGCTGCTGAAAAAAGCTACAGTGTTTATTAAGGTCGTTTTGGGGTTATGTAAATATTTGTAAATTGGTCAGTGACTGTACATTTAAATAAGAAAAGTAATCTTGGAAACAGTTTTAACTTTTTCAAAAGGACTATGTACAACTTCTTTTAGACCTACTGTAGCACAGTTTGTACCTCTAATGTATTTGGGGTTTTTTTTTTTTTTTTGCAGGCCAATTCAAATGTTAAGACTTGCTTTCCTTTAACTTGTAAAAGGTGCATATTTTTATTTTCTTCCTTAAGTTTAAAGTTTTGTATTATGTCAAATGGAATAAAGTTTATATATGGAAATTGTTTATGTGGTTTTCTGTGTGTGTGTGTGTGTGAAAGTCTTTACTTTTGAGGGTATTTTGCTTGATTATTTAGATTATGCAAAGAGTCTTGGGAGAAGGTCCATTCCTTATTAAGCCAGATAACCACATCAACACCTTATTTCTCTGGTGTTATTGGGAATGAAGCTTTCCACATAGGTGAATTTTTTTAAATTACTGATTACTGATAGTTAACACTTGAAACAATTAAGCTTTATATATTCCTTTTCTTGGAAATTTTCCTCAAGTGTATTATACACTGTGCAACTCTTCTTCAGAATGCTGTGAGTATAATGCATATTCTAGTGATGACCCCGGGTAATCATTAGAAACAATAAACAATAGTCATGGTATTCCGTACGAATTTTGCGCAGCTCTCGGGGGTGGGTAAATGTGTAGGGTGTTCTACCTCTGCAGGATTACATTTCCAAATAAAGCCCCTTCCCCCACCTCCACTGAATTTACCATGGTGTGGACTCCTTCATTGCCACTGTTTTCTCATCTTTCAAAGGGCCCACCCTCCCACCCTACACACAGCTCACTTTACTGTTGCTGTTTTTCAAGTATTTTGCTGAAAAAATAGATCAAAATTAATAAACTTATACCCAATTCAAAAGCAGTAAACTTAAGCCTAAGATTACATACCTTGTGACAGCCAAATATGTCAGATAAGTGGGCTGTTAATATATGAGAGTTTTTAGCCTTTTAAATTATTTTCTATATGCATTACTCAACCATGTGAATAATACATTCTTTTATTTTCTGTTTATATTTATCTGCCCATTTCTATATATAGTTTCATATTACTCAAGAGTAGTATCAGAAAATTAAAAATGTGCAGTTTGGCCCTGGCTGGTGTCGCCCAGTGGATTGAGCTCCCGTCTGAGAACCGAAGGGTTGCCGGTTTGATTCCCAGGGGTTGGGCTGTGGGCCAGGTCCCCAGTAGCAGGCGTGCAAGAGGCAACCACACATGGATGTTTCCCTCCCCCTCTTTCTCCCTCCTTTCCCCTCTGTCTAAAAATAAAATTAATTAAAAAATCTTTAAAAAATGTTCAGGCTGTATTGAAATACTAAATTTTGAATTGGTTTGAACTAGGATCTTTGTGAATTAATTTTGGTAACTTTAATTAGTGTTCCCAAGAAATTGTAAGTTAAATGGAAGGAATGTACAGTAGATATGTATAGTTTTGATTAGTGTTTAACAGATTCCCTTAGCTGCTATTGAATTCTTTTTTTGTCATAGGTGAACAGTCATTTGGGATTACTAATGGAAAAGCCTCGCTTATGTAAAGAGAATGAAAGTTGCTGCTGTTCAGCCTGGTTTAGTGAACTCTGGACTCCTCTTTTCTCATGCGTACTAGCTGATGCTTCTGTACTGTTGTGTGCACTTTCTACAGTTCTCTGCCTACAGGCCTAATGCATGCATATAAATTAGTGTAACTTGTGAATACTACCTAATTTACATTCATATTTAACAATTCTGTGAATAGTTTGCTGTAATTAAAAATAAATGTTAGCTGTTCTAGCCATAAGATCATCCTCATGAAAGGAATAGTATCTTTATGTATTGTAAAGCTATCATTACCTGTGACACATACTCAACGGGTCTGGTCCTGTTCTCTTAGTTGACAGAACATATATTAAGTGCCTACTATATGCTGCATACTTTGTTAGTTTCTAGGCTTGTAAGAGATGGGGATGATGGGACAAAGGTAAGTAACAAATTTACAAAGTCTACTAAGGGAAGGAGAAACAATTTGAATATAGGATCGTGGGAACCTGGAAGAGGGGTATTGAACTTAACTCCGGGACTTTAGGGATCTTGAATTATGAGTAACCCCATAAATAAGAGAAACTTAGGCAGGAGGAACTGTGTAAGTAAAGGCACAGTGGCATAACTTGATACATGTTGGGAACTCATGACTTCTACAGAAGAGACAAGACAGAGGCATGGGCTGTTGTGCAGTGTTTATTTTCCTGAGGCAGTTAGGCTTTAGCCTTTGATTAGAGGGGAGCCATTGAGTTTTAAGCAGGGACATGACACGGTCCAACCAAAGTTTTGGGGATCTTTGGGTAGAGTTTCAGACAAAACAGCCTTTGGCCATTGTGAGCAAAATTATTTCTCCTCAATGTCTGAGATTGGTGGAAATAAGAAATGTCTGGGCTGAACAATCCAGGGGCCCCCGAGGAAGCATATTCACAATTTACAGTTTGCAAACATAAGGAAAGCTAATGCTGCACAATAGTTCAAAGCTGGACTTTTGAGCGAGCAACTTTGTTTCCTATTGGGTCCTTACCAGCCCCGACACCTTGAGACAGCTACCCAAGCTCTTTTGAGCCTCCGTTTTCTCTAGAACACCAGCATTGCAATTATACCTCTACCACAGCAGAATTGCGAGGGGATCGTGAAACTGAGACCCTTAGTTGAGTGCCTAAACTAGTAAGCCCTGTGCTCAGAAAGAGTGGTTATTTGGTTGGGATAAAGGGTGCACCAAGTAGCCCGGCTGGAAACAAAGCCTACCAAACCCACTCTAAGGGAAAGAGAGGAGGGGCTGGGCGCCTAGCCTTTCCATTTCCTGTTGCTGCTGGCGAGAGCCTGTGCCCCTTGCAAGCAGCGGTGGGTGATCTTAAGTTGCCCCAAGGGTCCGCCAGGAATCTGTCTGAACTGAGGCGGGGAGGGCTCAGGGGAAGTTGGCAGACTCGCGGGGAAGAGGAGAAGCTGGGTCCGGGCCCCAGAAGCTCGGTGGCGAAACTTTTTGACGCCTTCTATTTAAAGTCGTGGGGCTCGCCCGCCCCCCGGGCCGGGAACCCGAGCCGCTCCGCCGGGGCCAGAGGCGCAGTCAGAGGGAGAACACCAGGCGCGGCGCGGGCGGCTCCGGCTCCGGTCTGGCCCGGGAAAGACGCGATGGCGAGTAGCGACAGCAACCACGTCGCCGAGAGCTCTCTCGGCTCCGACGGGGACGAGGAGGCGACTCGAGCGCTGGAGACCGAGGAGGAGTCAGAGGGCGAGGAGGATGAGACGGCCACGGAGTCGGAGGAGGAGCCGGACGCCAGGTAGCGAGTGCGCCTCTCAGGCTCGCAGCCCGAGCGCGGCCCGGGGCCTGGCAAGGCGGCCCTGGCCAGGGCAAGTGCTTCTCAGCGCGACTCCACAGTCTTCGTTTTTCTCTTCTCCAGTTCATTTCCCTCCAGCTAAGTACTTTCCTTCTGGAGGCGCAGCCCTGGTTAAGAACTTAAAGGTGAAGGTGCCTGATGTCAGCTGGAGTGACAGGCCCGCCTGCAGCAAAGTTATCCCTCCTGCCCCCGCCCCTCCTTCATGACCCCCTCCCCTCCCAGCCCCACCTCCTTGTGTCTTGCTCTTGTTTGTTTATTCCTGGGAATTTGCTTGGGGTCCTGTTTAACTGCAGAGTGTGGGGAAACGCTGACTTTTCGCCCAAGGCAGACGAACAGTCTTCAAAGCCTGAGCTCGAGAAGGGGATCTGGGTAGGGGTGGGGGTGGCAGAAGCTGCTCTGGAATCTTCAAATGACTGGAGGTCTCATGGTTGTCTAGTTCTGGTCTAGGCTGCTACAAGGGGACTTTATTTTGGTACAAAATCCCATAAATTCTTTGGAGAAAAGCATGAGTTTCTGTAACCCTTGTTCTAAAAATCCTGCTTTTTTTTTTTCATGGTCCAAAATATCAACGTTTCAATGAATGTAAGTGCAGTTAGGTAATACTTATAAAAATATGGTTTCCCCTCCATTTGAATCTTCCTCTTGCCTCCCTTCATGGAGGCCCTAAAGTGAGATTAGTAGGAATCATCTCCTCTCTATTTAGATTGGCTTCTACTTTTACTGTTCTCTTTGGGTGTGGGTTTTGTTTTGTTGGGTGTTATTCTTTTTATTTGAGTATGGGTATTTTTTATGTTTATCATGTCTGTAAGTCATGTCTGTTCCCATTTGTATTATGTCAATAGAAAGGCCTACTTCATAGGTGACAGATGTGTGTACAAAAGCATTTCAGAATGTCCACCTTACCCAAAGTTAAAAGTGCTGCCCAAAGTCAACAGAGCTCAAGTTCTGATTGACTAGGGTGGCATTGATTAGGGCGAACGGTCAAGTCCGATAAGTCTAGAATATTGGTCACATATTTACCAATCAACTACCAAGTGGGGATGCAAGCACAGTCCCTATCCTCAAGGACTTTTGGAAGAAGTTAGCAATATGGGGAGTACGACGCTGTGTACTAAGTAAGTGAGAGGGTTGGGGAGGACAGAGAGTTCTGTGGAAGGTCAGAAGAGAGTGTATGCATCTGTGACTTTGCCTAAACAAGTAAAAGTGGGCACGACCTGGACGCCTTCCAGTGAGCAGGAGATGCAGACAGGAAAAGCAGGAGAGAAAGCACCTGTGGGAAATGGAACAAGCAAGAGGGAATATCGATTGAGAAGGGGAAATCAGTCAATCCCAGACTTTATGACCTTTTTCTCTTGATGGTGTCTGGGATCCTCCTTTCCTTGCCCAACCTTAATTTACCACTATTCCCCCCCTCCCGATTTTCCACCCCAAGAATCTGAAAACTTATTTACTCTAAAATGTGAGCAGCTGACAGTGATTCAAATCCCCAGTTTGGAGTTGCATTGCCCTTTGACAAAGGTCAAAATCTTTAGTTAAAGATGTGATTTATTGGCGGTAAACAGCCTGCTGCCAGATGGTAAGGCGGACACCAGGGCAGGGACCAGAAGGAATAGAATAGAGGGAAACTTGAGGGAATAGGCAGGTGGTGGTGAAGGCCTTGAAAACCATCGCATTTTTTAAAAATTTGGATTTGATGACATTGGGAACAAGGATTCAGTAAACTGAACAGGGTTCAGAAAATCAGACTGGTGTTATTGGAAAATTAGACCCACAGGCATGCTGGAAAGCCGGGTTTGGGAGAGCTCAGATCAGAGAGTCAGTGAGACAGAAAGAAAGGAGATGTCTAG